AGCCGGTCCACGTCCCGGTCAAATGTCTGTGTGCTGCATCCCACAATTCCTGCAAGACAAACGAACATCTCCCACTGCGAGGGTGTGTCTGTCACCTCCCACAGAGACCCTTCCACACGAGCCGTTCACCTAGGCAATCCGGGGTTGGACCCCTGGTGTCTTCCTGAGGAATTCGACCTTTCACGAGTTTCAGTTCTGGTAGTGCTTACTTGCTTAACACCCATTTTGATTCACGTTAATAAAGCTGTGCCTTTTTCTCTTTGGTTTTTGCTTGCTGCTTGTCTGTTCGTGCAGCTACGTTGGGTGATCATGGATGATAAACACGTGTTGCCCAGATCTGGGGAAGGCCAAGATCAGGCAGATCTGGGGTCTCCCTGGGGCCCCTTCTCTGCTACCGAGATGGCGGCTCTGGCTGGTCCTTGCCCAGTGAAGAGCAGAACCAGGCTGCTCTCTGAAGCCGTCCTGTAAGGGCATCGATCAGGACCTAATCACCTCCTGAAAGGTCGCACCTCTTAATACCATCAAACCCCAGCGTAGGAGTTTTGGAGACTTACACATGTAGATAGTTTAACTATATTATGTCGTTCACACGTGTGTATGATTTACATACACATGAACATGTATGTCTACATATGTGTACACACACACGCACACAAACACACACACTGATCATCTAGATCTACCCTGAGGTGTCACATGGCTTGCAGGAGATGCTGTGTGACGCCGTAGCACTGTCTCTCCTGGTCAGCCTATTAAAGTCATATAAGGGGGAAAAATAACACTGGAAATTAAGGGAATGGAAACATTGAAATAAGATAGGCTACTGGAACAGCTCCACAGACACGCCAATGCATGTTACTTGGCTAAATCTACCCGTCGGTAACAGAGACTCAGGTGAAGCTAAGAAAACAAAACCCAATGTTGAAGGAAGGTCGAAAAATGGAGGAGTGGGAAAAAGTCAGCTTGGAAAACGCAAACCACAAAAGAGGACTCGGAGCAATGTCCATACCCGACAAGATGTAACTCAGGACAAGGAGTGGTGAAGGAGGAAAATCACATTGATAACACTCAGGTCACTGGTCTCGAACTTATTCTATTCCTGCCAATATTATGTCGAAATATAAATATGATATAAATATAAACAGAATCTAAACAAAATAGAAATGATTGAAAAATCCACCACACGGTGGGGGATCATCATGTCTTTTTCAGAAATGGAAATAGGAAGAAATCTGAAGTACAACCAGGGTTGTAAGGTAGCAGGACTCTCGGGACCAGGAGGCCTGTCCCCCGTTCAGGTCCGTCACTAACCTGCTGTCACTGCGGTTCCTCTCGGCCTCGGGCCTGTG